TTCAGAATTGCAATTCGTCACGTCACTTTCTTGATGGACTTGGTTCATATCGACGCACTTGTAGCTCATTTTTTCACGATTTGAGTTGGAAAAAGTTTGCCCAACTTCAAATGGTTCACACCAATGGGAGTAGCCATGGTGTGGGCAACAGTAAAATAACCTTCCGGGATTCAAAATAGTTTCTGAAACCATGATTATTGTTTTCTTCCCACAATCAAGACACTTGCATTTCCTTTTTTTGTATTTTAACCCACTCATTTGAGTGGTGCTACTCGAAGAGTAGCAGCACCACAAGTGTGCTCAAGATTGCATTTACGAATGCTAAATAACTTATCTGACTTGTACAATAATGCATAAACCCTCCATTTGCAGTTTTCGTCAATGCATACTGCTATGATCTTTTGTTGATCATTTTTCATGTACTTAAATGATCGATTATTAGCAATAGAATAGTTTTTCAGCATATGTCTAAAATCATCAGGATCTTTAAAAAACTGATTCTCCCCACGGATGCAATGTCTCTATGCATCAATTGAATTTCTAAGCGGATTACCCTCGATTTCCATCGATTGATCGCCGCTTTTAGTTTAAAAAAATTTAAAAAATGGATTACAATAGAGTGGAATCCAAATAACAATGTACATGAAAGTATCATAACAATGCACTGGTTCCATACTATCTTCTCCATTATATAATGCTAAGTTTTCCCACAAATAGTACCAAGTTTACCTATCACCTATACTATCCGAATAATGGTTACGTACTGTCTTCCCCATTATATGATACTATGTTTTCCCACCAACAGTACCAAATTTACCTATCACCCATACTATTCAGATGAAGGTTACGTACTATCTTCCCCATTATATTATGTTTTCCCACCAACAGTACCAAATTTACCTATCACGCATACTATACGTATAACGATTACGTATTGTAAGTACCATACGTCCATACCATATTTATATTAGCATGGTACTATTGCGTGCCATATTTTATACTATGTATCACAATAATTAACAACCATAAAGAAATGCATTTCAGTAGTACAAAAAAATATGGAGATCTACCAGCCATCGGTGCGAACTCTCTTTCGTCGGAAAAAAGAGGAAACCAGAGGTGAGAAAGAGAGAAGAAATAGAGAAGAAAAAAAGCAGATAGAAATGAAGAAAGAGAAGAAAGAAAGAGAAGATGAAGAGAGAGAAAATGAAGAGAGAGAAAATGAGGAGAGAGAAAAGGGTGAGAGTGAAAAAGAAGAGAGAGAATATAATAAAATATATTAAATTTACATTAGGGACTGATCTGCATGTCAGACGCGTGAATAGGGACTGATTTGCTTGAAGAAACTACCTAGGGACTGATCTGTGATTTGAGTTTTGGATTAGGGATTTATCTGTAGTTTCCCCTTTAATTTATTCACTTAATTAACTACGAAATCGACATAATAATATAATATACAAGCAGTGCGCTGCAACGAATATTTTAAAAATATAAATGAAAAAGTAATTAATTAAACAATTTGGTCCCCGATATCGATGGACGTGGCATCACCAGGATTAGAACAACTCCAACACCATACCTCCGAAATATACTCATTATTATTATTATTGTCCATCAACTCCGGCAGCTCTATCTCCGCCCAGAAATCATCATCTCCTTCGCCGCCCCTGTGTACATCGGTGGATTTCTCCTCCGCCACCATATTGGCTGCGAGAGAGGCGGCTGCTTGAATATCTCTTGCGGTGCTGGTGGAGGGGCGGGGCAAGTGATCGATTTCTTGGGGAAAGTTGAGCTGAGCTTTTTGTCCTTTCAGGCAGTAAGCTGCGACGTCGTATGCTCTGGCTGCCATTTCCGGTGCGGGGAATGACCCGAGCCATATTCGGGTCTTCTTCTTCGGTTCTCTGATTTCTGATACCCATTTCCCCCATCGCCGCTTCCGTACGCCGCGGTAGACGGGGTGGCGCGTGCTCCCTCTGTGTTTCGGAGAGAATCCACCGGCGGTGTGGTGGTCATCGTTGGTGCATGGTGGGGGTTGCTGCTCCATTATATTATATTGCTTTACAGTGACAAATGACAATTTGAACATGCTCCTTTAAAATATGTGTCCTATAAAACTACTATTTATGGTTATTTAGGACAAATAATGGGAAGTGGAATTTGCAAATATGCCCCTATATCATTTATTATTTGCGACAAAAACATCACCATTCACGTACGTTAGTACACTGAGACATGCATGATTCATGTACCGTTTCGTTTTATTATTAACAAAAAATATTATATTTTTTTAGAGAGATAACATTTCAGTGCGATTCATATATGGCACGTAGCAACTAGCAAGTATACAAAAATGCAATACTATATCATAGATTTTTCATTTTTTTTTTGTATTTATTAAAGTCTTGCAATTGTTGTAAATTTTGTCAGTTTTGATAGGTAAATGACGAAAGTAACCCTGACTAAGACCCGTTAAATTAAATAAAGAAGGTTGAAAAAGTAATTGGTCCCATTAAATTGGATGCAGCTGTAGTAGGGTTAATGTAAGGTTAAGAAGAAGTAAGGTTCACATGTGCAAAAGCAGCACGGGACCTAAGTGACCTTCCTCTCTCTTTGTGTGTCTCTCTCTCTCTCATCATATTTATCAATAATTAATTACTTGATATAAAATGAAGCTGACTCCCTATATTATCATATCTTATAAATCAAACATATAATATTATTGGTAACTCAAAATTAACAAATACTCCGGCCGTGAATATAATATTAAGAGGGTGATTGACTAAACTTATACGATGTTAATTAAAGGAGCTTATAAGATGTTTTAGAGTTTATAAGCTCTTTCAAAGTGTTTGGTAATTTTTTTTTAAAATAAGCTGTTGGAGAGCAAATAAGATCTTTTTAAATAAGTACTTTTACCCCACCTTTTTATTTAAGATCTTATAATGAGTAAAAATAAGAAATAAACTTATCATCCAAACACTATAAAAAATAATCCTAGAAATAAGATGTAACAGCTTATCAGCTCTTAAAACATCTTATCAGACGTAAGAGTTTATCAGCTGTTTAAAATTAGCTCAGCCAAACACCCTCTAAATATGCCAAGACATTATAATATAGTAATATAATGAATCATGGAGCATGAATTGTAGGTAAGAAAAGAAATTAAATTGGTTTGTAATGAAGGTAGTAGTAGGGGACCGCCGCCCACAAGTTGATCGAACTATGCATTCATCAAGGGATGGACGACCATTCATTCATTTTGTACTATTATTATGAGTACGTTCAAATATCTTTCCATCTACCATTTTCCATCAATATTATTATTATTATTATTATTAAAATTAACCAAGCGAAATTCTAGATATTATTTACATTAAGAGTTGTAGTTGTAGAGGTTTTATATATAAAATGAAAATATGAATAACACTACTAATATTAGTATTAATATATTTAATAATAAATTTAAATGAGAGCTATGTTTTTATCTGCATATGATAGATTTGTGATAGATTTGATAGGTTTCCAGACTGAGGTTGTACGTATTTGTGGTGCAAAATCCAAGTTGAAAATTCACCTTTTCCGGAAATATCAGAATTTGTCAACTTTCATGTCGTAAACTGAAAACCCACGTGTTATAAAAGGAATTCCTTACATTTTATAATTAATGAGCTTAAACATTTATATTAGAACCATTTTTATTCACATACCAGACAATATTATCAAGGGCTCATTAGCAATAAACCCCTCATATAGATAATTAATGGTGATATGTCCACCCTTCAATCTTACTTTGTGATAGCCCCTAGAATTTGTATTCTCAATTGTATCCTTATGTCAATTAGGATAATTAGTCTCAAATATTCATTTTTTCTCTCTTTCCATAACAATAATCTAATTCCTAAAAATCTCCTTCCAAATTTCTAAAAATCTCTTTCCAAATTCCTAAAAATTTGCTACCAAATCAAAAAAAAAAAAAAAAAAAAATTATTTTTTATTATTTTCGGATTTTTTAGCCATTTTTCATTTATTTTTATTTTTTAATATTTTTTTTAATAAAAAGAATTTAATTTTTTTAAAAAAAAAATTTTAACAAAAAATTGAATTTTTTTTTCTTGACAGATTTACAACTCCGAATATGACTATAGTTAAACATGACTATATGTGACTGTATAGACATATTATTTCTTTATATTGCATTTTTTTATATTTTCAACTTAAAAATTTCGATTATATAATGTGGTATAGTCATGTTTACCAACTTATATAAAACAAAGAAGATTCCCCTATTGTTTACGAAAACAATCCAATCAAAATTCACACAAAAAATACCAATTTTGAATCTAGTTATTCGAATATGACTACAGTCATATTCAACAATAGTCATATTCGAATATGACTACAATCATATTCGAAAAATACATAAATATGACTATAGTCATATTCGAACATGACTATAGTCCTGTTATGAAAAAAAAATTCGAAAAATACATAAAGATAGAAAAATAACGAAAGAGAGTCATGGGGAGTCGACGACAACGGCGATGGTGAAGTAAAGAGAGTGAGAGAGGCGGCGACGGTGGTGGTGGGGGACAAATCTGGAAAAAAAAATGAGAAAGATAACGAAAAAGAGAGAAAGAGTCTTACGTGGAAACGAATGAGGAGGCGGCGGCAACGAGCAGCGGCGGTAATGGTTGTGTACAAATTTATGTGGAGACGATGGTGGTGTAAAGAGAGAGAAATCGAGAGAAACAACAAACACCAGAAATAAATAAATCACTAATTGAGTGAATCAACAATAGTCATATTCGAACCAGAGTAGTCACGTTGATGCTGCTGTTTCAGATTTGGAGAGAAAAAAAAAGAAAAAAATCGAAAAAACCTGGGGAGGCGACGACAACGACGGTGAATGACAGAGAGAGTGGGGACGTGGCTACGGTGGCGGTGGTGGACAAATCTGGGGAAAAAAAAGAAAAAAAAAAGAAGAAAAATTTGAGAAATCGAGAGAAAAGGAAAAAAGGAAAATCTCCATGTAACGCATCCGACGAAGGGCGGCGACGAGGTTGGGGAGGCACCGCCACCACCACTTGTACGGAGGAGGGCCTCCTGCATTAGGTTTCGGTCGACCGGAGGTTGAAAGGTATTTTTTACTCCGACGGTGACGAGTGCACGAACAACGGTGGCTATGGTGAGTGGACTACGGCGGTGGTGTGAAAACGACGAAGGAGGGCGCCGCGGTACAGATCTGGAGAAAGACAACTTCTCAAATAGCGAATGACGAGTTTGTCGAACATCGATCTCTCTGTTCTTCTAAAGCTCATGTGCGTGGAAGAACTTTGGTGATATATGATTGGTCCTATCACCTTTTATGTATCCACTCTTTGTTTATCTAACTCTTCCCTGCACTACATAATTAACATTATCATGACAGTGGACATGTCTGTTTGGTAATTCAACAAGATGTACCTGCAACATTACAAAACATTGTGCATTATTATAATCATCGTAGACAGTCTATTGAGCAATTGAGAATGTAAAAATATTATCGATGATTATCTCATTTATATCACATATTGAAATAACTTATGAGATTTTCGGTATTCTCGGGATTGGATATTGTTTTTTCGATATCAGGCTCAACAGATTCATATGGAGCATTCTCACCAGGAATCGCCTCATTTGAGGGTTCACTGATTCCCCCCTTCTTTTTCTAGGAACAACGTCCTTTGATCCAATATGTCAACCCCGTTTTTGTCGTGGGGGATCATCATTCATTTTTGCATGTTCTTAAGGAACAGCGATCCAAGCTGGTATATTCACAGCTGGAATATAAGACTTCGTGACTTTACTGGCATCATTAAATGCATCAGAAAGTTTATTGGCAATATTTTGTAAATTAATGATTCTATGGATCTCATTTTTACATTCAGAGGTACGTGGGTCTAGATGAGATAAATGTTGTTCACACCATGTGAGATTCTCGATTGGTTTTTGTTTATCATTATCACGGATATTCTGAATATCCTTACCAATCGGTATAAATAATGTCTCATCAAAATGACAATCCGCAAATCTAGCGGTGAATAAATCACCCGTCATTGGTTCCAAGAACCTAATAATCGACGGCGAATCAAATCCAACGTATATGCCAAGTCGACGTTGGGGACCCATTTTAGTCCTCTGAGGAGGAGGAATTGACACTTGCACAGCGCAACCAAATGTGCGAAGGTGCGAATTATCGGGCTCAAAGCCTAATACCAATTGCATTGGAGAATGCATATGATAAGCAGTGGGGCGTAATTTAATCAGTGTTGATGCATGCAATTCTGCATGGCCCCATGCTGCACTAGTGAGTTTAGATCTCATCAGCAAAGTACGAGCAATTATTTGGACGCGTGTAATCAGAGATTCCGCCAGTCCATTTTGAGTGTGAACGTATGCTACTGGGTGCTCGACATTTATTCCCAATGCCGCACAATAATATGTGCCACCAAACGCGCAAGTACTATATTTCGCGTAGATAATAAGCATACGTAGTACCATTAGGCAACATAATTGTTGCATTCCCGGAGTCATCTATTATCTCCACGGGATCAGATATGATTTTAACTTGTGCTTTGCACAATGTCACACTCGAGAAATATATTTTATTATTGAATATTGAGTGTGTAGTTGCACTATCGAGTAGGCAATAGTCATATTTGTCCATGTTTTCATGTACGCGTAATAAAAAATCAGCTCGACCTAGAGTATTTATCCTCCAAGGGAGATATGTACATGTGGGTTTATTCAAAACAACTCAATCCACCATCCAAGAGAGATTAAACATGAATACACACAAAATAACTCAATCTCGGGAATCACACCTTTCGAGAGAGATATATATACACTGGGTACAAAATAACCCATAACCTTTAAATTTGAGCTTGTGATTAATAGCCTCTAAGTTGGCTCTTGACGGGTTTTACCTCGTCTAATGACTCTACGAGCTTCAGGGTCGGAGATATTTTCAAATAATTGGCCATTAAATCGGCTTTTGACGGATAT